TAAATCTAGCAAGGGGCCACAAGGTTGGTGGGAAGAAGGGAGGGGGAAAAAGGAGCTGATACCAAGGGCTCAATAGAAAGAAAGTAAATGGCTAGAAAAGAATGATGATGACATATGTACAAATATGCCTGATACAATTGATGTATGGATTGTGTTAAGAGTTGTAAGAGCCCCCAATAAAATGATCTTTTAATTAAAAAAAAAGAAATATGTTTGGTCTTTGTTCTTCTAAGGTTGTTGCTTATTTTAAGCTAAAAATTTGAATACCCCAGTTTTTTTCACTGTAACTGCAGTGAGTTGAGGAAGATTTAAAACTCTTTTCAGGATTCATTTTGAGTTCTGTTTCAGGTGACCCCACATTATCTCTTCTCCTTTCCACGGATGATTTTTCCTAAAACACGGTATAACACTAAATTTCAAGATGAGCAATCAGAGTCGTGGGGAGCACAAACATTTTTCATTGCAGCTCACACTTGGCTCACACTTGGCTCTCAGGAGCAGAAGGAGAGATTGAAAAGCACAATTCAGAGAACTTGCTAGCAGATCCGATTGTCCTTACAGTTTCTAATGACACTGAAGTACTTCCATCATTAAAATTTAAAGGCTTCCCAGTAACCAAGTAATTTGCCCCAAACTCCTTATCTAGCACTCACCAAGAAGACTCTGATTTCAATATACTATTAATCAAGCTCCAGCCAAGTTTACCACTGATATTTTCAATTACAGAGAGAGACCAGCGTCATCTCTCTCAGTATGCTACTTGAAAGGAGATGGAGGGGGAAAAAACTTTTCTGATTAGTCAGTTACTTGTCAATAAAATAATTCACGAACTTGGTGTAGATGCATTAACTAAGACATTATGTGGCACTTTAAAGCATCCTGATGGCACCACCTTGTAAGTGTTGAACTATGAACTCCAAGGTTGGCAGTTCAAACCCACTAGTCATTTTAAAGAAGAAAGTTGAGTCTATTCACTCCTGTAAAGATTTATATCCTCAAAAAGGAGAAAAAAAAGATTTATATATTCAGACGTCAAATATAGTGTTACTATGAGTTGGAATCTACTCAATGGCAGGGAGTTGTTTAGTTTTCATTGGTTTATGAGTCAGAATTTACTTGATATTAGCATATATATGTGGATTTAATAACAACAAGGCAAAACAGTTTAAATTCTTGTAAAACTATTAATAATTTTTTAGAATGGTTACATTTCTGAATTCCATGGAACACATAAGTCATTAGTGTTATAAAACAACAAGGAAATATCATGGATATATGCAATATTTACATATAAGTGCATTTGTTTAAGTATTCTTCATTCATATTATCAGATATTTTAAATTATATGAATTCAAAGTAGAAAATTGATTATATACACTATGAATCATTTCTCCAAATTGTGGAATAATACATTTATAATATTTTACAACGAAATGGGAAATATAGTATATTAAGTGGGAAAAATCCAGTTTGATTTTGTTGAAATACTTGTACATATTTGTATAAAACTGTAAGTATAATTCTACATATGTCCAATGTTCACATTCTGATGGCTAATAGTCATCTATATTTTATCTTAATTCTGATTTCTATTTTCATTTTAAAATTAAATAGTCACTGTTGTAAGCAGATATTTAATATAAATTTACTTCACTTCACTTTGAAAGTTTATAAAACCTTTGATTTGTTTGTAAAACAAACCAAATTCACTTCCACTAAGTCAATTCTGTCTCATAGTGATCCTATAACCAAGGAAAAAGTGAAGTTGTTTGTCTTCTCTTCCATTCATTATGTTACTACTATACTGATTACAATACCAAGTTACATAGTTACTTAAAAGGTAGTATGTAAGACTGAAATTAGATGGTATGTCAAGAAGCAGAAGACTATTGAACTGGTGGTAGGCAGATCAACATTGACTTACTATGTCAGTGCCCTACTTGTGGTACTATGATATGCATTATTCTAGCAGACTTCTGATTGACATTGTCAATGGATATTATTGTAATTTTTTTTGAAAAACAATTCCTATTGTTTGTGTAAATAACGTCCAGCAATGTAAGGACTGATTCTGTACAAGTGAATAATTCACGTGTTGTAATACATAGTTAGCCTACACTGGTTCAATCTCCTTCTCTCAATGATGTTTTGAAAATTAGTGTGATGGGCTAATCAGTGACGCTATTAACAGAAGATCCTAATGCACCAGGGAAATGATCAATAAGATTCTCTACCATAAATTAACAAGGAGATCTTCACAGGGAGACAGAGGTAGATAAAAAACAGATCCAGGAATGGATATTGGGCTCTCACTAAACTTTAGCTCCAATCTAAGAACAATTAGTTCATACTACATGGTCTTTCTTGATACTTGCCACAGAAGATTTGGATACTATAGCAAAGGGTGGTGAAGAAATTAGATTGTGCCTGATTTTACATAGAATAGTGTCTGTGTTCTTAAAAGCTTGTTTCCAAACAAGCCGTGAGATGTAAATTCAGTCCACATGGAAGAAGCACACCAACATCTGTGACCCAAGGATTGTAAATTATATAATCCAGAATCACAGCAGGGAATAGTATCAGAACTTAATGTGAGATTCTGGTTTTCAGAAGGGTATGAATAATAGTGGAAGCCCAAGATACATTTGTGAGATCTACACAAGAAAGAAGCCTCCAGTGATCTCCTTCTATCCATAATGGAGAGATGGTAATAAACTGCTTACCAGACAGGGAGGATAATACTATAGTAGATTAAAATGACAAACCTGATTTGATTTGATCACCCCTCTGATACACTTTAGACTTGATCTGGATTTCAGAATTTTCTTCCTTTTTCCCCACAGTGGGATTTATCTCTGATGTATTTTGTCATTGTGGGTAGTCTTTTTGAATCTTTGTTTTGTGTTTTCCCATTTTTCAGTAAAGGATTGATTGATGAACCTATAGAGGATTGATGAAACTTTAAAGGCAGCAATAGAATGAGGGGATAGATGGGAGCTGATGTTAAGGAATCCAAAAAGAAAGAAAACGTTTTAAAACCATTTGTGGTAGCAATTGTACAATACAGCTTGATATGATAGAATTTATTGAATGGCATGCTGTCTGGATTAGCTCCTAATAAAATGGTTTGGTTAAAAAAAAGGTAGTATTTAGACATCTACTGTATATTATTGATTGATTGTGTCAATAATGTAATGTCAAGAAGAGCCCTGATAACATGATGGGTGAGGCATTGTGCTACTAAGGTTGGTGTTTCAGACCCACCAATGATTCTGCAGGGGCAAATGAAGCTGTCTGACCTATAAACATTTATAATCTTGGGAACACTTGATAAGAGTTTCTATGGGTCACAATTAGTCATTATCTAGGGGGATGGCAGGGGAGGTTGAGGGAAATGTGGAGCTAACAACAATGAGTACAAGAAGAAAATGTCGGAAATTGATTGTGGTGATGAATGCACAACTCTTCTTAATATGATTGAATGATTAAATTGTAGAATATAGGAAATACAGGCCAACAAAACTATTTTTAAAAGATCACATATCAAGCATCAAAGAACAAAAAAATCATATCATTGTAAATGTGGGTGAGTGCAGAGTGGAGACCCAAAGCCCACTGGCAGGCAACTGGACACCACCTTACTGAAGGGTTGTGGGGAGGAGAAGAGTCAGTCAGGGTGCAGGGTAGCAATGATGAAACAAATAACTTTCCTCTAGTTCTTAAATGCTTCCCCCCACCCCAATATCATGATCCCAATTCTGCCTTGCAAATCTGGCTAAACCAGAGGATGTACA